GGGGCTGACCCTATGGTTGGGACTCCTTTAGCATAACCCAACTTTGATCACCTTCTAGAACCTCCCCCCCTCGCTTCCCCCCGCCACCTACTGTACCACCTACTCCCATTTTCCTAGCACTCCTTTAAATAGCCAAACCTTTGAACTCCTTTTCCACCTCCATGCACCTTTGATTAGCTACAAAAATGTTCTTGAACCTTCAATTCTCGATAAAAGTTTTGGTCTTGCCCTGAACTGCTTGGTTGAGTGGCCGCGTTTGTTTCTCTGAGATTGTTTTATTGAGAATTCATTATTGGGTTTTAATATTCTTGAAGAACCCACCTCCCAAATTTGAGCAGGTATTGATTTCTAGGGTATTATTATTTATTAAAGGATTTCAAGGTTCTTGAGGAACTCACCTCCCAGAAATTGATTTCTAGGGCTCTTGAGATTCTTTATTTCGAAATTGATATTAGATTTTGGGCATAAACATTGGGGATTTTGTTTTGGCAAATTACAAGAAAATGCCCCCTTTAGCAGGTTCAAAATCCCTGCCAAATGGGGTTCCCCAAGAATCAAATTCTAATATAATTACAATTGATGTGGGTGGTCAGATTTTTCAAACCACAAAACAAACCCTGATTTTAGCCGGCTCAAAATCTTTGTTATCCAAGATTGCCAATTCTGATAATGCAATCCCTTTTATTGATAGAGACCCTGAACTTTTTTCAATTATACTTTCCCTCCTTAGAACTGGGAATCTTCCCTCAAAAGCTAGATCTTTTGATATTCAGGACCTGATTTTTGAGGCTCAATTTTATGGAATTGAAAACCTATTAGTAAATTCCCAATCAAACCCTTCTCAATTTGATGCATTTAACCTCGAAAAATCATTGGTTTTACCTATGAGTGGCCGGGATTCGCCATCAGCTATCTCGACTACAGAGTATGAATCACTTCATGTTGCTCATGGTAGTAAAATCACTTCCTTTGATTGGTCATTGCAAAGAAAATCCACCATATTGACTCAGTTCACAGCTATTGATTCGTTATTAGCATTATCGGATAAAGTTGCTGCGGCCGGGGCCACAGACTTTTCAGGGTTACAAATTATCGATCTTGATAATGGTTTTGTTAAACAGACGTTGAATTGGGAGAATGTCACAAGGTCTGGTTCTACAGTGCAAGCCATTGGGGTGTCGCCCGAGTACTTATTCACAAGCTTTGAATCTGTCCGAAGAAATTCAAATTGCATCATGTTATATGATCGTAATGATAGTTTTCGATCAGTAACCAAGATAGGTCATTATGAAATTTTCGGCGCTGATTTGGATTCTGCGATTCCGGCCACTAAACTGCAGTGGGTTTCTAGTCATAATCTGTTGATGGCCTCGGGTTCTCACAGTGGACCTTCTGGTGTACTAGGCAATATAAGGTTTTGGGACATAAGGTCAAGGAATGTAGTTTGGG